GAGGGTGGGGTGGGGGGGGTGCAGTGCTGCAAGGAGAAGGGGGTTCTGCATGCCCTTGGGTGCTGTTTAGACAAAGGGCAGAGGCAGTAGAGGTAGCTCCAGAGCCTGCTGACCCTGACACATCCAGCTCTGGGTGTTGATTGGGCAGGATGCCAGGCCTGGGTGGGTAGGGGGGGAGATGAAGGGGGTGCGTGGATAGAGGAGAGCTTCCAGGATGGTTGGGGTTCGGCTAGGGGTTCGTGGTGGAGTAGTTGGGGGGCTCAGGGAGGAGGATCCCAAAAGGATCTGGAGCTCCTCCTTCCCAGGTTGGGAGTAGATCACCCTCTTAGGAATTACTGAGTACCAACTGTATGCATCCCCAGGGCTGGGAGCTGGGTGGAAGGTCCAGGCTTGGGTGTCAGGAATGGTACAGGAGGGCACCTCTGGTCCCATAGGAACTGCCCTCCTGGTCCACAGGTGGTGTCTGCTGGCTCCAGCAGGGCAAAGAGGCCACCTGCAGCCTGGTGCTGAAGACCGATGTGAGCCAGGCTGAGTGTTGTGCCTCTGGCAACATTGACACCGCCTGGTCCAACTTCACCCACCCAGGGAACAAGATCAGCCTCCTGGGCTTCTTGGGCCTTGTCCACTGCCTCCCCTGCAAAGGTGAGACCCCGGGCGTCAGCCACAATCCAGGGTCACTATAGTTGAAGGTGGACCTGCTGGAAGTGAGCTCCCCGTCTCGGGGGCATGCAGGAGGAAGTTGAGGCTGCTGAGAGGAGCAGTTGTGGAGGGGATCCCGGTCTCAGCTTCCCTCAGTTGAGGATTCAGGAAGAAGCTCTGAGGACTCCCCAGCTTGGTTTCCATCCTTGAGGCCTTTACTTATCCCAAGCCCTCTGCCAGGATGGCCTTTCCCACCTGCACCCCACCTGGTGGAAGTATACTCAACTCACAGCTAGCTCCTGGGAAAGGAGATTTTCCTGACGGGCCATTCTGGTTTGTGACCCCACACTCAGTGTCCCAACTATCCTTATCTGCCCTTAACCCCACAGACTCCAGGGAACTGTGGTGGACCCCAGCTGCATGTTTAGTAATCATGGGCCTTCTGGACCATGTTCTGAGAAATGCTGCCTCCTCCATCCAACAAGGAGTTCTTCAGGGGCTCGCCCACACCCCTGTGGTCAGGGTTGAACCTGCAGGGACCTAGAAGGGACATGACTTGAAGGAGGTGGGCATTAGAGACAGGGTGTTGGGGAATGATTAGGAGTTTACAGCTGTAGAAAGTATGGGGGGGGGGAGCATCAGCAGAGACCATAGCCTGGGGTGGGGTCCTGGTGGGTGGGGTCAGGGCAGGGGAGCAGGGAGGAGGCTGGAGCTGAGGGCTGCAGACCTGAAGAAGGCCAAGCTGAGGAGCCTGGCTGAGCTCTGAGATGTGATTAATCCCAGATCAGCCTGGCTGGGTGGTCCTAAAGTCAACACCATGTACCCTGGCTCACTCTAGAACCCCCTTTGGCTTCTGGGAGGAGGACAGACTTCAAAAAAATGCCTGGCCTGGACATGAGATGGTCCAGGACCCCACCCCCCATTCTGGCCTTGGGGACAGGAACTCAGCCCCCACTTCTCCCTCTTGTATGAAGCCACACAGGCAGAACATTTCCAGATGTGTATGTGGGCGGTCGGGCGCCCAGGTGCAGCCCACATGCCCTGGCATGGGTAACCAATGTGGGGGCGCAGTGCATTCTCTTAGTAGTAGCATCCACTTATTTTATCCTGTAAGGTGGGTTTCCCCATCAGCCCCACTCTGTACACAGGGAAACTGAGGCTAGAGTGTAAACTTGGCTCGGAGTCTGCCCTCCAGACCCACCAGCAACAGAACTGAGTTGTTGGGGTTGGGGGGGGGGCAGGGGGTTGAGTGTCCATCTAGGATCTGGCCTGGAGTTATGCTGAGGTGCTCCTGGCTCTTCTCCGCGCACAGCAGTGAGGGGCCTCAGTTTTCCAAGCAGCATGACCTCGTACAGTGGTTGGGAGGCTGCAATGAGCCTGGGAGAGCCTGAGAGGCAGGAGCAGCCATTAGTGGGGTCTGATTTGCATTTCCAAAGGACCGGGGCCTGAGTAGGGGCAGGGACCCAAGAGGCAGTCTTCCCCTGGTCAGACCTGTTTCCCTACCTGAGAAATGGGGCTGCGAGGGGTGGGTAACTCCCAGTGCAGAGGCCCGCTCCCCAGGAAGTGAGCCTCATGCCAGGCGCCAACGCCCCGCCCTCCCTGTCCCCTCCTCTGGGGAGGTTCTGGCAGGCATGGGGCAAGGACACTGCCTGGATGGGGTGGAGCCCCCCCACCCTACCCCCGGACTGACGCAGCAGGGCCCCCCGCCGGCCTGCCCAGAAACGCGAGTCAGGGAACAGACGTCAGTAGCGCGGGCTGGACCCCAAGATTGGGGCAGAGACGCCCTTCCCGCCCACACTGAGCCCCGCCTCCAGACACAGCCCCCAGCCCCAGGCGTCCACCAGGACAGTGGCTGAATCTCTCCCACATCCGACCCGCACCCCGACCCCGAACCAGTATCCTCGCCGTGCACCCCGACTTCGGACAGCCCCCC